AAAGCAATTAGCAGAAGCTTGGCAAACATCTGTTCTAAAACCAACAAAAGCAACTGGCACTCAGTAGATAGAACACAAAGTCAACGCAATGAAAATAGCTTTAGAAAATTATGGGGCGTTTCTTAGTCACATTGAATCACTTTCTCAAACCAATTCGAATCCAACCAAGCGAGCAGAATTAAAAGGATATCTGAACAAATGGAAAGATAGTGATAATGCAAAGACTCAGGTGTGTATATTAAATGTATATGTGATGTTGCTACTCTGAGTGACCAACCGGGCAAGCTGAAAAATTAGCTTGACCACGGTGGGAATCAAACCCGCAACCTTTGGTTTGCTAGTCCAATGCTCTTCCAACTGAGCTACAAGGTCGAGTGGTTGATATTTCGGAACTGAGTCTAGTCCCTTCCATATTTGTGTGCCCTAAATATCAACCACTCGAACCGTCTTGACCTTGTAACTCAGTTGGAAGAGCATTGGACTAGCAAACCAAAGGTTGCGGGCTCGATTCCCACCGTGGCAAGCTAATATTTCAGCTTGCCCGGTTGGTGACTCAGAGTAGCAACATCACATATACATTCAAAATGGAAAGATGCTACATTTCCAATTTACCTGGCAATCTATTTGGATATCCTTTCTCCCATATGTCGCTTAAAGTGCCTATATCACTCATAGGATCTTTATGCATTTGAAAAGAGCATAAAAAGTTAGTTAATATATTAAAAAAATTTTTTTCATTTAGTGCAATAATTTCGAAGATACAAGCCTCTAAACTACCTGCAGTTCCTGAGTGCCAACCTCCTGGGTTTAAACACGGCTATTCAATTTGAAACTATCCATTGTTCACAGGAGCCTGGGACTCAGGAACTGCAGGTAGTTTAAAGGCTAGTATTAGAGTTTTTTAGATATTGATCACTTATCTAGATATTTATCATAAAATACAAATTGCTAGGATGGCCGAGTTGGTAAAGGCGTTAGACTTAAGATCTAATGTGCGTTGCACTTTGTGGGTTCGATTCCTACTCCTAGCACTATGCTTTTTGTATGTTTGCAGTCATTAAGTTCTGGTAAAATTATAGTTTAAACGATATTAATTTTTAAGCAAGCGATATCATTCGAATAACTGTACCTTGTTTAAGACGAATTGACCTGGGCAGCTATGATATAAACCTCTCATGATCGGAAACCATGCTCTCGTGGTTGTCAACCAAATTGCCAACATTAATTCGTACAACTTGAATATTTCCTTCAGCTGATTTTCTCAAACGAGTAGGTGTTAGGCGGAATTAAAAATTGCACGCTGTAGGACAATAAAAGAAGCCATTAAGTGGCCAAGTTCCAGCGGCACGTCCCTAATTGAGCATTAATTAACTAAATGACTGAACCCATTGTCAGTTAATTACCTTGTCCAAACACGTTTATGCATACATTACTGGTAATAGGTTTTAATGACTATACGAACCTGAACATGTTCGCCCCTCTAAACAAAGGGTAGCTTGCACATAAATATCGTACATCGAACAGAATTTGCCCGAGAAAACACAGCAATGGAGTGCTTACATGGAGTGCCTGCTACCGCAATCTCAACCAAGAAAGAAAAGTTTTGGGTTTGTAACAAGAACAACCCTAAATGTTGTGAATTCTTTTGCCCCGAACAAGATCGTTCGCTCTTTGATACGGCTATGATGATGTGGAGGGCGAATGGTGCGATTCATTCGCTGTGTGATACTCACCAAAGACCGACCAAGATGAAAGTTGTGAAGGATCTAAGTAAACGTAACTTTGGGAGACCGTTCTTTGTTTGCTGCGATCGTAAAAATTCGTGTAACTTTTGGCAATGGGGTGATAGATTACAGCTCCCAGAACCGAAGTGCCAGCACGGGTTAAACTGTTGTGCGGAAAGTTAAAAAGGAGGGAGAAAATCAAGGCCGTCTGTTCTTCTGCTGCCCAAACGACAGAGAAAAATCTTGTGGCTTCTTCGAATGGAAAATCGTACCAGAGAATCCTTTTAACCAAGATCACGTTCCTCACATTTAGAGAGTTGGTCTATTGCAGAGTAATCCAGCCCTGTACACGTATATGGTATCCGAAACAGGCCTTACCTTTTCTAGCGCACGGAAAAATCCTCACGACGCATATGCTGAATACATGGGAGAATTGCCGATGACAACGAAGGCACAAACAGACTGTTACTAAGTAATCCTGAACATAACATTTAATAGACTGCATAACATAATGCATAGTGTAGAGTGAAACTATGTGTGTATATAGATAAACGTTTTTCCTTAATTTCGCAGCCGTCTGTACATATTTAAAGTTCAATAAATGTATTGCATAAATATCACGCTGCTTGCTTGTCTGTATTCATTTGGATCTTGGTCGTGCACAATGAATGGTTTCGACGTGATTGTTGACGAGCTGCAACAAAATCATGTTCAAATCGATAAAGAAACTTTAAAGTTTCATGTAGACACTATGCTTTTAAACCATGGGGATATGTTGCGTATACTTAAACTGCAAAAGTGAGAAATGTATACGGCGCAATGTTAGGTATTGTATTCTATCTTTCGGGAATATAAGCGTTTCAAAAGCACAACCAAGCAAAAAGTGGGCGATTGTTTTAACATTTTCATGTACGTTATTAGCTTTATATATCAGTTTGTAAACCTCAGGACATTCACTTCCCTGAAACCTTTGTGGCGAGAGGATGACTTGCTGTGGTAAAGCGCTCCCTGAAATCTCAATCAGAAATTTCTTTCGCAAAATATGTTGCATTTCCGCCTGTTGCGAGGGCAGTATTGTAATTCAGGCTTCTGACGTTGATGGCCGAAAAGTATCTGAGCAACCTATATTACAGCCCAGAAAGTCCAGCAAGTTTTGGCGGCGTAGACGCCCTTTATCGTGCTGTTAGAAACGATGGCAAGTATCAAATATCACGGAATAAAATACAAGCATGGTTGAGAACTCAAGATACGTACACTCTTCACAAGCCAGTTCGATTTCGTTTCAAGCGCAATCGTGTTATAGTAGCAGCTATGGACGAAGAGTGGGAGGCAGATTTAGTTATTATAAACTCCTTAGCAAAGTACAATAATAACTACAAGTACATTTTAACCGTGATAGATGTACTTAGCAAGTATGCGTGGGTTGAACCGATAAAAACAAAGACGGGTGAAAATTTGGTCAGTGCGTTTGCGAAAGTTCTTAAGAAGCATCGCAAACCCAAAACGTTTCACTCAGATAAAGGAACGGAGTTTACCAACCGAAAATTTCAAACATTTTTAAAAAAACAAGGTATTCGGTTCTTCACAACGCAAAATGAAATGAAAGCATGAATCGTAGAGAGATTCAATCGTACACTTAAGGGAAAAATGTGGAAGTACTTTACAGCAAATAACACATTAAAGTACGTGGACGTTCTCCAGAAATTGGTTAAGTCCTATAATTACTCGAGGCATCGCAGTATTGGCATGAGACCAGTAGACGTGAACGAGACTAACGAAAGCGCTGTACGGCAAAAACTTTACAGCGAACCTATTCGATTTAAGTTTGATGTTGGCGATCAGGTTCGGATCAGCAAGGCAAGAAGAACATTCAAGAAAGGTTATCTGATTTTTATAGAGTGAAACAAATACTTAGATCACGTATACCTAATAAACGTAAGGAATATTATGTAAAATGGCAAGGGTACCCGGAGAAGTTTAATTCATGGGTGCCAGCAGAAAGTGTAAAAGATATATAAATAAAATATCATTGAACCCTACATCATTTGTGTCCAAGTATTCATCATGACAACACAGTTTTATCTCACCCTGCCGAGTAATAGTTCTATGAGGTATTTTCCAAATAATACCATTGCAAATTTTCGCGTAAAATTAGCTGAAATGATCGTTCTACTCGGGCAGTGGGAGGTCGCGCTGGCCGGACTTCATTACCCACACACATGGAGTGCACTAAGACAGGGAGTGCAACAGTCATTTATTTATCATGTGGACAAGCATGAAACTGGTTTGTTAAAAGACACACATTTTGCAACCGTCACAGACCTTGTTAGAGCGATGAATGCATCCCTGAATAAGGAAGGTCAAACAAAAATAAAATTCGCTTATAATCGTAACACTCGCAAAAAGTAAGCGTTGATGTTAAACACGGCGCTTGGGTGTGGATGACTGGTGACATAGCTGCGACGCTGGGGTTTGGCGAAGACATCGTGATCAAAAAGAAAATTTTCTTCAATGTATATCTATACAAACATTGTAGATGCGCAGTTTGTAGGCGATGTTAAAGTTCCACTTTTAAGAATTGTTAATATCGAAGGCGACTACGGAAAGACCGTGTTCACGCCAGTTTTCGGAATTTACAATACGTTCCTGTAAAAGAACTCTTTTGAAACGGTTGAAGTCAATATAAAGAACGACCGCAACGAAAATGTCTCATTTGAGTCGATCGTGACACTTCACTTTAGACAAAAGCGATCATAGTACTTTATTTGAAGATGTGGGGAAGACTAGTTGTTGATCAAAACTACTAAAAGAACATATTTAAATAATCAACGAGGTGGTAATATTGCGGGATTTCATGGCGCCCGTATGCAGAGGGGTTATGGTATTGGTGGAATTTTCAAGAGCATTGCGAGGTTTGCTATTCCGCTTTTCAAGCAAGGGGCAAAAGCGGCGGGTAAAAGACAGAAGTAGGTCAGGATGTACTTTAAGGAAAGAATATTTCGAAGTCAATAAAAGCCCGTGGGAAACAAGCTGTCACTAATGTCGCCGATAAAGCTGTCAAGAAATTGATGACTGGTAGTGGACCGAAAAAAGGTTTAAAAAGATCAGCACAAGCTAAACCTATCATTTCTTCTCGAGCCAAGAAGCAGAAAACATCTCTTGATAACTATAAACCAAAGTGGAGTGGCTCAGGTCGTTGAAACAATTCATAAAGACTCTTGTATGTGCTCCAAATCTGAACTTGAATTATTTTCTGTACCACCGACGCAAGTAGAAATGGAAAAGGGATTTTGGGAGGATATTGATCCTGTCACAAGCATAACAGCCTCTGACACAATTGAATTCCTTTGCGCAGCAAACTCCGGAGTTTATATCGATTTAGCAAACAGTTACCTACACGTGAAAGCAAAGATTACTATGCCAGACGGTGCAAATGTTGCTCAAGATGTCCAGGTCGGTCCTGTGAACCTATGGATGCATGCACTGTTCTCACAAGTAGAAGTGTTCCTAAACAACAAATTGGTAACGCCGTCCAGTACGGCTTATCCTTACCGAGCTTATATGGAAACTATCCTGAACTTTAGCAAGGATGCCAAGGATTCTCATCTCACCTTTGCTTTATTTTACAAAGATAGTGCGGGAAAAATGGACAATGTAAACCCGCTAGCTCGTCAAGCAGATGTGAATACAGGTCTAAAAGAACGTCATACACATACTCGTGGGAGTAGATCTGTTGCTATGGAAGGGAGACTACATTCGGATCTATTCGCACAAGAGGGCTATATTCTTGGGGCTGTTCCAATAAAGATTAAACTGGTTAGATCACAAAAACCATTTTGTCTAGTCTCATCTGCTGAGGACCCAGGTTTCAAAGTAGTTATTGAAGAATGTGTATTTCGTGTGCGACGCGTCAACGTATCGCCAAGTGTAATAATAAACCATTCCCATGCCCTACAGCATACGACAGCCAAATATCCGATCAATCGCGTCGAATGTATAGTTGTCACTGCCCCCCGAGGAAACATGTTGGGAAATCAACCCAATATATTTCAAGGTATTCTACCAAATCGTGTCGTTATTGGTATGGTCGATGCAGATGCGTTCAATGGTAGTTATGCAAAGAATCCGTTCAACTTCAAGAACTACGACATCACAAATTTTGGGCTGAATGTAAACGGTGAAAACCTACCTGGAAAACCATTTCAACTAAAATTTGCGAGTGCAAGAGGAAGTAACTACATTTCAGCGTTCCAAACACTGTACGCTGGGACACATAAAATGTTTGAAAATCAGGGCAATGGTATAACTTGTGAAGAATATGCAGACGGTTTTACACTATTTGTGTTCGATCTCACTCCAGACCTGTGCCTTGGTGATCATGCACAACCAACTAGAAACGGAAATGTCTCGATCGAATGTCAGTTTGGAACGGCCTTGGAAGCGGCTATAAATATTGTGGTGCTTGGTGAATTTCAAAGTCTTATCGAAATTGACGCGAACAGGAACATGCTGTGTGACTTCACTAACTGAACATGAATACGCTGCAGATTTTGAATATATTAAGAAGTGACTCGTTTACAAAGACTGTATTTACAGACGTTTTACCATCAGATCGTTTACCTGGGCTAGTAAGAAAAAGACCAAAAGGTTTTGTAGTCAACACTGATCCGAGTAACAAACCCTGAAGTCACTGGTGTGCCGTGTTTGTCTCGGAAGATGGGAGAGGAGAGTTTTGGGACTCGTACGCGAAAGCGCCAGGATTCTACAGTCAACACTTTACACGGTTTTTGGAGAAACATTGCACTACATTTAGTTGGAACGCGAGGGTTTTGCAAGCACCCAACTCGTACGTGTGTGGACAGTATACGTTATTTTTTGCTTTGCATCGCTGTAGGCATATTCCAATGTCAACCATTGCAAACATGTTTACGGAGAGCAAAGAATGGAACGACATGCTTGTACGTGACTTTATACGAAAGTGGTGTGAATAAATACAAATAATGTTAGTTTAAAAATACATTTACTGTAAAAAACATATATATTTACAAAGAAATAAATTATTTTAACCATTTATATGGACTACTGTTTATGACTTTACGCTGTTTTTTTCGTTTTTGCTGCATCGGGGTAAGATGTGGTTTGGGTAAGGGCTGGGCGACATGATCAAAAAGTCCTTTAGGTTTATATTCGCGAACAAGTCCTAAGCGATTTTCGTTTCTGATAACGCCTTCGGGTACATTTAAATGTCCCAACGCCTTCGAAAATAACTCCCAACCTTGTGGATTAAAGTTTTTCCTCTGACGCAATGAATCGTTGACCAAATCGACGATATTTGTTCCGGGTACTGATCTTCCTTTGAACATCATTTGACCTTGCTCATTCCATCCAACGACATCTTTGTTTGCTTTAAGTTTCTTCACCAACTGACGTGCTCTAGATTTCATTGTAGCTGGAACACTATCCAGTATGTCTGATTCAATCTCGTCATCATCCTTTATCTCTGGCATTTTTTCTTCTTTATTTTCAATCACAGAAGGTTCGACGTTAGTCACTCTAATAGGTTTACTCATACGTTTGTCGTAAAAATTTAAGTATCGCTGTAGGGACTGATCGTACAATTTTGCCCTCTCATCAACGGGCATGTCTTGGGGTTGAAGTAGCTCTTGCATCGCGTTGTCAATTTCACCTACTTGTGCTGTGCGGTCAAAGCTGGTACGAAAGGTTTCTTTCGTTGTTCAGCCATATGTTCGGGTACAAGGACCAATCTTTTGACGTGTTCCATTTATAGAAAGTTAGCTAACTGTCCCCGGAAGGAAGCCCTCCCCTTTCTGGACAAGACGTGCTCTTCTTTTTGCAATAGGATTTCGTTTGTCAGCCACAAACTTTATATGTTTGGAGTGCGGTGCAATTTTTTTCGCTGTTTTTGGTTTCAGTTTAATTGTATCAAACCAGACGTTCAAAAGACACTGTCTTATAGCTTCCAATAGATCGTCTTCGGTTGGTTTTCAAATAGCTTTTCTCAGTTTGGGTTTACACTTGGCTAATACTTTCAGAAGTTCTGAGTTCCTTTTCATGCAGGCAGACATGGTCAAACGAGCCAAATCTACAAGCAAATCCTATGTTTATACTCTTGGTTGATAGACATAATGAGTATCTTGTGGAAAGATACCGGATAGTAATCGAATTTCATCAGGACACGTCGGTGTCAAATCAACAAATAAATATGAATACAGTAGGCTTCTTTCGTTGCTAATTGAAAAGCTTGTTGAAAGAATTTAGTTTGACTGGGATATATCTGTTTGGGTAAGTGTATAATTTGACTAGCATCGCGGACGTTTTTAGTCAGACACAAATAACTTGCATTTAAGGAAATTGTTCGGTGTTCTTTTCCATGTTGAAACAAATTTTGCACGATATAAATTACGCTCAAATTGCCATGGTGCGATTTTTTCGTAAATAATTTTGAAATTATTCCGTCCTTCTCACCCATCATATGGTCAATGATATATAAATTGCGTGTTTCAGGATTAATACAATCTAGTATATCGTCAGGTATGCCTTGTATAAATTTTATTCTAGGCACTAAATTTTGAATTTCTCCAAATGTTTCCTGATATTCGGAATAAAAATAAACGATGTTTTCTGGAGGTTTGTCTATAATGACATCTGCATAACTCAAAAGTTTTTTCACAAAAGTAGTTTTGCCTGACTTGGTACTACCAGAGACCAAGAGGCCGAATGGATGTGTTAACTGTATAGATTACATCATGAAAATGATCGCACGTGTGTTTCGATCAGCTTATTTATTATCAGTAAGACTGTTTCCATGTCAGTTGGCATTTTCTTAGCACGTACGAGATAGGATTGTCTTTGATGACTCGTGAGTTTGTGAACATTAGCTAGATGATTGGAGAGTTTTACTAATCCTTTTCTTCCACAAATGGGACAGATCTTTCGGGTCCGAGGCATATTATTAAATGAGACCTTGTATAATATACAGCCACTGTTATACGTAAGTCCCTTTGGGGAATAAATTAGTCCCCCCTAGTGTCCTTGGTGCAGAGGAATGTCCCCATTAAAATAGCATGCTTCCCTAATGTCCCTCCGGGGACTTTTTTATTCCCTAAACGTCCCTGAAGATTCAACACACACAAGCACACATAGGCACACACACAGGTTCTTTGTTTTCAAATGATGCATTATTATACAAAACCTAAAAACCATATGGTAAAGTATCAAAACTATTCACAATCCTACGCTTAGTATATACCATTCTATATTTTTTGCTTTCACTTTTCGTTTTTATCGCTTTGTCCCTCTTGTCTCTTATAATCTTATACGCAATGTCGATGGTGATTCCATCATCGTTTTTATTACTTATAGTGTTCAAGATCAAATCACACAAGACACTGTGATTAACAAATTGCTTCGTTCTGTAGTTCAATGTTATCCCGCGTACTTTGCAAACTGTTTTCCCCTTGTTCGTCTCGTAACTGTAGTTCTTGGGACCACCGGACGCAAACGTGATAATATGAGCTCCATCTAATTCATCAGTCAGGTCACCGAGGTATGAGCCAGTCGGTGGCTCCCATTCACCATCTCTCGACGCATAGATCACGGAGTCCGTGTCGAAATACAAGACACGGCGATCCAGCTGCTCCAGGACGCTGTAGAGTTTCAGGCGAGCATGGGCTGTGGTGAAGGCCGCTATAACTACATTCGTATTTCCGTCAGCCTCCACGAACTCTTCGACATTTTCATAACGTGCTTCGATCAGCTCGTCATTGATGAAATTAACGTCGGTGACGTTGATTTTGTCACTAGATGAAAGGTCGAAGTATTCAGCAGGATCCGAAATTATTTTAACCTGACCCATGTTAGGACGTTGTGCAAACTTTCCTGAAACGAGAAAATGAAAAAGTGCTCTCAAAACGTATGTTACCTACCCATGAAATAGGGTATTGCATTAGCAGTAACAGTATAGTGTGCCTACCCCAAAAGGAGTTAAGCATAAGCTTTGCCAACGATCTTAGGCCTGGATTCTTGACGATCTGTCTAGGATCCAACTGTATTCCCTCCTTTGCCGCGTAATCAGCAATGTACTGTGATTTCTTTTCGTTTGTATCGCACCCCGCTGGAAAACCACTTGCCTGAAAAGGAAAATAATAGCTAAGAAATTGTTAACAAGACAGGAAATATAGCCTCTCTCTCTACCTACCTCTTGTTTGATTTTGAGGAACGTATCGATGTAATCTTTGAAGAGGCCATTTCTATGTTCAGGGAAATGCCAAACTTCGTCTATCTTCAGGACTCGGTAACCCTTCCCGTGGGCCTTTTCCAGCTCCAGACTCACCCATGTGCCATGTATAGCTCTCTCTCTATCAACGTGTTTGCAGGGTTCTTGTTGCACGGAATCAGCACAGGTACGGCAGAGGGGAAACATTAACTTGCCCTGAGTACGATAGGGCAAGACCGGGTGATAAAGCCCTCGAGGTGGTAGCACAGAACATTTTATTAGACCAAAGTAACTTTCAATCGGTCCAAAATTATCAGTGATTATTTCTGGGTGTCTGATCGGATATTCCCCATATTTGTTACACCTAGAAATTACTTAATAAGGTTAGTAAGCAATACAAGTTATTGCTGCTTTTTTTTTTGCTGGTGCGATTAAGACAACAACAACAACAACATACTCACCGGGGGTAGAGACTGCAAAAGTCCACATAACGAATCTTTTCATCATCTCTGACGTCGTGGTAAAGACGTGTGGCATTGGTGCGCCCACCGAAATAAGCCTGTCGTGGCTCTAGAGGTTCAGAGATTTCAAATTCGTCGAAAAATGTCTTCATCTCCGAATCCATGGAAAGCTCACGTTTGATGTCGCAGGTTCATATCTCTATAACGTTATAGCCATTCTCTTGAAGGTACTGGGTTTTCTCTAACGTCCTCTGTCGTAAGTCGTGCATAGAAATGTAGTTTACTGGATTCACAGTATCCATGGTATAGCACTGGTCGCACCCGTGCCAGAAACAGCCATGAATCTCCCACACCGTATTGCTTTCTTTGTTAAATCCGTAGACAAGATACTCACCGATACGTTTCTCTCCGTGGTTACGAGCATGACGGATGCAAATATTGTCCCGTTGGGATACCCATTCCAGCATTTTCATCGCAATCACAGAGTGTTTATTCTCTGGCTTGTAACCACATGGAGGAATGATCGCGATTGTGTCCTTCTCGAGAAAGTTTTTCCGGAAGACAAGATTGCAGGCAGAAGCGATGGTCAGACAGGATGCGAAGGGGTCAACTTCAGTAATTTGGTGGAACAGTTCGCGAAACTCGAGGCAGCAACGGCTAAGAATGTCCAAATCAGACTGACAGTACCGAAGAATTTCAGCACGAAAATCAAACTCGTACTGGCGTTCCACACGGTCTTTGTACCATGCGAAGAATTTCTCGCTGTCGCCGGAGCTCATACCGTTCGGGTCGTAATACTTGACATCTGGCATTGGCCCCACATAATCTTGATT